TTTCTCGTGCTAACTCGCCCCCGGATCTTTGAACTGCCCCCCGAATAACTCAAAGGCCCTGTCTCTTTCTCTCATCTTTCCCAAGCAGTTCTTTGCCCACAAACATCCATTTGCTTAACAATATTTGTTTTCCCCCTTGTTGGTTTTAAAGGGAATCTATCACTGGACATATTTTCTCTTTTTCCAGGCCCCAAATGCAAACGGAGGCAAAAACATCCAACAAACAAAAACCGAAACAAAGCCCTCCCCCCACAAGAACAAAACAACAACAACAAACAAAGAATCAAAAGCAACTCAAAGCAAAGCCCGCCCCCCCCAAAAAGTCAGGAACAGACAAAAAACAACACACAAAGTATCCAACAAAGAAAAGAAGGAAACAAATCCCCCCCCCCCACAAAAACAAAACACCAAGCACCAACAAACAAAGGCCCCAAATATATAGAACAAATCCAATCACACCAACACTCAAAGAGCCGAGCAGCGTCGCTGGGACATCTCAGGACCTGGAGCTCCTGGTGGAGCGGCACCGCAGCTTCGGGGCCATGGCCATCGTGGCCGGGCGCCTCCCGGGAGGCGCCCGGGGATTGGTCTGGGTCGCTGGGTGCCCTCTGAAAAACAACTGTTTTGGGGGGAGGGCCAGCTAGGAGCCCTCTTTTACCCGTTTTGTTTTTCGGTGGGGTTTTGGGTTCCCCCACTAAGATAGACCACAGCAAAAAAGTGGGTAGCCATGTTCTGGTCTCTACTGGAGGACCTAGTGGTGCAAGAAGGAAAGGGCGCCGTAAAAAGGGGCGAAGGAAGACTAAGGGCGAAAGAAGAAGGGCTAGGTGTCAGCGGAAGCTATTTCGGCTTGGCGAGTGAGAAAGGTTCCTTACAGATTTTGTGGGGAGCTCCCCGGAAAGGTGGCACCAGTGGTTTTTTGTTGCTAAGTTTGGCAGGCGGGGTCGTGGCGGCCCTTAGGTCGGTCGGCCGGTCAGTTGGTCGGCCGGTCCGTTGGTGGAGTTTGCAGCTTTGGCTTTCCACATCCTCACCATCACCAGCAAGCCTCGGTAGCATCGCTGCCAGGATAGTGCTTGGAACCCACACGAACCCTAAACCACAAAAATGAGTCCCAAACCACCCTAGACCCACCTTAGCCCCACTAAACCCAGCTTAAACCACAACTATGCCCACCGTAATCCCACGCCAAACCCGCACTAAAGAAGCCCTACGCAAACCTTAAACCCACCCTAAACCAACCCCACCCTATACCAATCCTAAAACGATCTTAAACCCACCCTAAACAGCTTTAAACCACCCGAAATCAACCAAACCCTATACCAACTCTAAGTCCTCCCCAAATCAACCCTAAACCTACCCTAAACCTGCTCAAAACCCCCCACGAAACCCGTGTGTTTCTCTTCGGAAACCACTTTGCAAGTAGGTCTTGCAATCCAACCAGACAAACATGTGTTTTGACAATGCGTTGTTTTTCTTCTTCGCTTTCGGAGCAGAGCTTTGAAGCTCCGAGCTTCCGACGGGTCTCAAGCTCTTCAGTTGCAACGATGGGTTGCAGTGAGTTTCTTACGGTTCCACGCCCAAGTTTCTTGGGTCTGTGAGAGTACTGATCGCTCGGTCAAGGTATTGTAAAACAAGTTGGACGAATGGGATCCGGCAAAGAACAGCCTCACAAAGCGGGTGGACGGCCTTGCCTATGACGAAAGGTCCTTATTTCCGGTGTGTGAAATATAGCAAATTGTTCCCACCAGGACCCTTCAATGGCTGGCAAATGTTCTGTGGAATGACCTCCCAATGGCTGTTTTAGGGTTATTTGCCAGCCATTGGGGGGGTCTTTTTTTCCAGCCACTTTGCCCACTACTAGCCCATAATTTGGCAAAAGTAGCTGGAAAATAAGTTGGCCACTGGGGATCCTGGCAGTGATTGTATCTTAGCCTCGTCTTTGACCGCAGCGTGGATCATGAAGCGCCTTCGCAGATCCTCCCCGCGCAGGCGGCGCTTGTCAAGTGCTTTTCCAAGAGGCCCCGGGGCGGTGCTCTCAGGAGGACATGGAGGCGCGAATCCAGTTCGGCTTGGTCGGAAATAGGGGGATACATATGGATACATATATGGATACATATATGGATACATATATGGATACATATATGGATACATATATGGATACATATATGGATACATATATCATATTCTAGGGGTATATGGATACATATATGGATACATATGTATACATATATCATATTCTAGGGGTTGATTCCTTTTCCATTCTTTTCAAGCATCCTTCTTTTCAAAAACCGGATCTGTTTCCCCTGGGTTTTGATGGTTTCCTGAAAAGAAGGATCCCTGGAAAGAATGGGGAAGGTACCCCTAGACATATATGGATACATATGGTATGGATACCTGAAGGGCTGCAATGCTGAGCTCGGCGAAATCCCCCGAAATCGCTAGACATCCGTTTCGATCAGACTGTTTTTTCTTGCGTGGAACTGATGCATCCGTCAAGACAATATGATCAGTTGAAGAGCAAACCTTGGCACGTGCATGTCAACCAGCGCATTTTACATGGGCAGGGCTTGGCTCTGCATTCTAGACGCTGCATGCCACGACCATTTTAGCATGTTGCCGATTGGTTAGATCCCCAAGATGCTTGGCCACGCAGTAGCCAGGGTCAAAGGCGTGTGCTTGTTCATTTTCCCTCCCTTACCCCTGACCCCGCTCAGGCACCTCATGATTTTTAGCACCTTTGCTCGGGGTTGGCTCTGCATTTACTAAAATCCTTTGTCAAAGAAGCCACAGGTTGGCTCAGCACAAGACTTGCTGGTGCTCAGCAGGGAATGAGAGAATGGCCCCTATAAACCATCCCCTGTGGTTTCCTTTAAGAGGACTCCAGGTTCATTTCCTCATTCCCTACTGAGTACCAGCGAGAAAAACAACTTTTTGTTTGTTATATTCTTTCACGGTACCGGGGCATGATCATTTGATCAATCTCTCCAGGTGTTTTTGCATTTTTTTAGCATGTCTTGGCTCTCTCACCCAGTACAAATGGGGATTAAAATGGCTGGCATCCTTTTTGTTTCGGAGAAAAAATAATATTAAAAAGTACCCGGTCCTTGCGACTTATAGAAGGGCAGTGCAACGCATCCAACGCCACGGGTGATACGATACTTCTCCCAAGACGTCCAAAAGTGGAGGCATTCATTTGGAGTGCAAGCCCAGGTCCCCCAGTACTGCCCTTGTACCCTTTTTGGGGGGAGGGTTCCCCGAATAAAATAGACTACAATAGCCTTATTCTGGTCCTCTCTACTGGAGGACCTAGAAGAGGGGGATGAGGAGTGCAAGACCTTTTAAGCACATTCCCATTCCTATGGTTGTCAAGAGCCCCCCCCAAAGCGGCCCCCCCGATCCCAAAAGCCCCGGCTGACTTCCATGTTGCGAGTCCGGGGAGGCGCTGAAGAAGCTGCCCACCAGTCGCGCGCTGCACCTGGGCTCCCAGGACTTCCGGCTCACCGTGCGGGTGGTGCTCAAGGCGCGCGCGAGCGAGCGAGCGAGCCGTGCGTGCGAGAGGGACCGCTTGGGGACCGGGGGGACCGGGGAGCCATGGGCCAGGCCACTGAGTTCAAGCCATACCTGGACTTCTGAAAGAAAAACACAGAAAACAGGGAAGTCGCCCCGTATTTTTCGGGGCTGTGACACATTTTTCAGGGAATCTTGAGGGTTCAGGTACAAGCAAAACGAGCAGAATACAAGCAAGCCAAGCAAGCGCAAGCATTTTTGAACAGAAGGGTGGCGAATTTGGGCCAGTTTTGGCAGGGCTCCCGGGAAAATGGACCAATCTGTTTCACCAAACGGCAAGTTTGGCGGGACCTTGAAGATCAACACACTGGGGCATGGTTGTCCGCTGACTGATCATATTGTGAAATCCCTTGGAAGCGACATCGCAGGTCTCGGAATGAACCATTGCAAAGTATCAAAAAGGGTAACTACCCCGCTTAAGGCCTCTCTGGACCTGATCCCGGCGGTGTTTCGCCAAGCGCTGTGCCGCGGACATGCCTGCCCGTGCATATCCGTCCATTATTCAAGGCCACACTTGTTGCAAAACCAGCACGCCAGGCAGTTTAGCAAGTTCGCGCATCCCCGGCCACAGTCGTACTCCGGGGTACGAACGTATTGACGCGTGGCAAGCACAGCTTCAGCATTCAAATTGACAGCGGCTGAACAGGAAGACGGTTGGACAGTTTTGTTTTTGATAGCAGTCCCTGTTTGACACATGTTCCATAGAATCTCTCGGCCATTGTGCCGCCCGTGCGATTGTGTTGTCCGTGCGTTTTGGCTGGGCGAGCCTTTTTGGGGAACCTTGTTGACATGTGCCACCTTCAAAGCAGGGACGGGCTCCTCGTGTTTGACGACCCGGCTCCGATAGTGGACATGAATTGCTGAGAATATCTTGAGATATGCCCAATATGCTCGGCGCGTGAACTAGACAAAGGCTTGGCTTGTCAGAGTCCTTGAGGACCCTACTTCATGAGTTGTCTTGGCGTTATGCACTTTGCATGCAATTCGGCAGCAGCCAGTGTGATGGTTGCTTTATAGTAGCATGGCTCAATGTGAGTTGGCAACACAATGGGTCATTCCCAAGTACAGACGAGCAGTCTGCAGATGACGTCGAAAGATTGGAAGGGGATTCTTCATGTTCGTTGCCCGAGGAAGCGAACAACGAGAAGAAGGGGCCTCCAGTGTACCATGTGTCTTGCCTGCAAGTCGCGCGGATGAAGAGCTGGTGCAACGCCGGGTTTCATCCAGAAGAGTTGGCTGCGAAACAGTTTTTGCTGTGCCGTGAGCTTACGGCCGTTTTGTCTTGTTTCAGCACTTGGCGACCCATGGCTAAGTGGCTGTGAAATTGACTATGTAGTGCCTACCAAAGAGTCCTCACTTGACACTAAAACCCAATGACTCGGCTTCAGTGAGGGGCTGTACTCCCAGGTTTGCAAAGTGAGGGCTATTGCAAGCATTTGCATTTGAAGCCAATGTGCTTTAGGTGCTGCTCAAGCCCGTGTTGCGCTAAGTTCAACCCTTCTCGCAAAATCGAGCACTCTACCTCGGGTTTCTCTCGTGGCCGGTGTTTGGATTCAAAGTTTGCAATGAGAGCGGAGTAAACATCTCAATTGGCGATTGGATTCAACATGCTTTTTGGGAAGATCATTTTAGTCAGACAGGTTGCACACTTTGGGGGCTCCGCTCAGGAAGTGAATATCTGGCTTCTATGACGCAAGGGCTGGCGAGGGTAGAGGCGGTACGGGTCGTGCCATCCCTCCCTTTGTTGTTTTCTTCCCTTTAGGCTCCCTTCCTGTGCTATCTTGTTAGAACTATCACAGCGCCCTGAGTTCCTGAACTTTAAACTTTTGGGGAAGACCATTTTAGTTGTACTTCAGGCAATCCTTTGGACATTTTTAGTGGTGACTTTTAGGCAAGCCTTTTTTAGTGGTAAATAATCAGTTCGGACGTTTTTCGGCCAATCCACTCAGGAAGTGAGGATTTGGCATGATTTCGCGTGCGTCTCGGAATTTCGCTTGCGCCTTGTCGCCTGAGGCGGGTGGGCTCTTGAACCTCGCGAGCTGTGAGCGAGATCTTGGGGAGATGAGGTGCAAGGCGCCGGTACGGATCGACGGATGCGTCGCAGTGATATCCTCCCATGAATTCAGGCAAATAATAGCAACCTGGGTCCTCCGTCTCCGGGTTATTTCTCTGTTTTTCCGTTCTCCGGGATATTTCCAGGAGACCCTCTGAAAACTAGGAGTTTCAGGTGTTTCAAATGCAGGAATCAAAAAGCAGGAGTGGCTTGCAAAAGGCAGGAGTGAACATCAAAAACTAGGAGTGGTTCTTGGGGGAATCAATTGGATTCAAGTTTTGTTGTCTTTTTTCGTTGTTTGGGCGCGCAATTGTGCAACTCTGTACACTATCCCAGCAATTATGCAACTCTGCACTGGAGTGGGTATTCCACTGATTTTACTACGCACACTCCGGAAACTCCGTCTTTTTTTGATTTGCGGGAGTTTGCGGGTTTTTGCGGGAGTTTGCGGGCTTTTTGCGGGTGTTTTGCGCTGAGTTTCAGGTGTGGTGCTTTCCGGTTTTGCCAATTTGTTGCCCACAGGCAATAATTCCGAATTCAGAATAATTCTGAATTCTCAATAAATAATTCTGATTCAGGTGAACGATTCTGATTCAGGTGAATGATTCTGATTCAGAATATGTCTGAATTGGAGAGTTCCTTCCGTCAAGTACCGAATATTTGCGATTTCTAGGGGTTTCAGGTGTGCAAACCATTTCCAGAAGCGACAATCAATTTCTAGGAGTTTTACCTCAAAAACCAGGAGTTTGAAAACTCCGTGTTTTTTCACTGAGACCCTCAAAAAACTGGTAGTCTCCGGATTTTACGTGAAATTTCCATGATTTGGAAGATCCAGGAACCTCTTTAAGGCTCAGGGGTGATGGTTTGGAACCTTTCCCATGAAGGTTCGCAAATTGTTCGTCTCATCGTCTGTATGGCTCATAAGGGGTGTTGGATTGCAACCCATGAGGCTTCGTATGTGTCGTATCGTCATCTGTATTTGTTTCGCCGGTTTGAACTTTTGTCTTGTGCCCAGATGAACTTATGACGGAAGGGCTTGCCCTTGACTAATAGGTGATGTTATTCCCCTGATTTATCCCCCCCTCCCGAAGTCATGAAGATGTGACAGGCCACGTTCCCTTGATGAACACCTTCCCCCTGGTCAACGACGGTTGCCCGGACAGAAATGAAACATTCAATGAAGGAATTTTGCGGGCTGTTCAAAGGCAATCCTTATTTTTGCCTTGGGTTGCGAAATGGTGCGATCTGTAGCGGTTTCAGCCCAGATTAATAGAAAGAGTTAGAAGTGACTTCCCTGGAAGACAGGAGCCACATGCGTTCAGTTTTCAGTTATCATGCATATTGTTTTGCTGGCGGCGCACTGCTCACTTTCTGGACGTTGCACAGAATTGAACAAATGACTGGTCGTTTGCATTGCAGTTGTTGGCCCATTGTTGTGCTCTTTGTGTTACTCTGTGTTGTGCTATATTTGTGTGATTGCCGTTGTGTTTTTTGTATTGCGTGTTTGGTTGTGTTGATTGTGCTTTGCGTTGCTTTGTTTGGTCCTTTTGTTGGTTCTCCGTTTTTGCAGTTTAGTGCTTTTTCTATGCTCTTGATATGCCTGTTGTGTGGTCTTGTTTGTGTTGTTGCTTGTTTGAATTTTGTTTTGTTTTCCCCTTTGTTCTGTTGTGTTTTCGAGTTGTTTCAGCTTGCTTGTGTTCCTTTTTGTTGCTTTTTGTGTGCTTCCTGCGGGCTGCACTGGCAGCTCTCAACAGCTGGCGTGGCAACAGCTGCCGGGGAAAAATTGGGGTGCTGCTAGACTTTAAAGTGTGTGTTTTTTTGGCCTGGCATTACTTCTTTTGTCTACCGGACAAATGACTCACAACAAAACGCAACACACAGCACGGAGAAACAACACAAGCAACAAGCACAACAAAAACACAACCAATCACAAACCGCTCACAAACAAGAGTGCAACAAAAAACACAACAAAGCACCAAAACCGAGCATACAACAAACACACATCTTCAAGTTTCTTTGAACATTGAACGAGCGCACTGGTGCCTTCTTTTAGACATGAATGCGTGCCCACGGAGAACCCGAGACCTCTGGCTGGCCAGAATCAACGCTTTTCAGGGCAACAGGCAGCTCTAATCGATCCAGTGGGCCCATGTGAGTCACAATCAAAACCTGGGTAGATGAAGGTTAGTAAGGAACAGTGCCAGCCACAAATAGTTGCGGCCGCCTTCTTAATTCTTTACATGGTTCTGGGTCGACCATTTTAATACCAGGTTTTGATTGTCACTCATGTGCTGAATGGCCTTTGATTGCCAGCCACCGGACGCTTTGGTCCATGCATACCCGCTCGTCTGTGTACGCTACACTGGGCTCAGTCCAAAAAGGTTCAGATGAGCCGTGCATCTGCCGCCTTCCTGCAAACCCCAAAGACACAAGAATCGAAAATGTGGGTTTCTCCATGTGGGTGTGGCTCAAAAATGGGGGTCCAAAATGGAACCCTGGTAAATGGACAGGTAGACTAAAACCCGCGTAACCCCAGTTGCGTAATTTGGAGCCACACCCATGTGTCCGTTGTTTTGTGTGGTTCTGTTTGTGGTCACTGGCCAAGGGAGTTCCCCGACGCGATTGCGTATTCATTCAGGTGTCCCTGGATTAGTGGTTTGGATTGGTTTGTGAGTGGAACCCCTGCTTTTTGTAGAAAATGTTGGACACCCCTGCGGACGACCAAACCCCCAAGGCCACCAAACCCCCGAGCTCCAAACCCCCAAGACCACCAAACCCCCCGGGCTCGAGCTGATTCCTTAGGACCAGCGCCACGAGATCTTCGCCCACTTCGTGGCCTCGGAGTTCGGCCGATCCCAGGCGCCAGACTCGCCGCCTCGACGCCGATTCGACGCCGATTCGAAGCCGATTCGAAGGTCGGGGGAGGGAGGCGCGAGGCGGGAGGCGCGGGGCGCAGGCTGCGCAGATGTTCATTTTCCCGCAGGCTCTCACCCCGGTTTCAAGTTTTGCCCCTCCCTGCTTGGTTTTGGAGGTTCCGTTTGCCGTGCAAAGGATACCGGATGCGGTAGGGCAACATTGGTTAGAGCAAGGAGCAGGCGTAAGGAGCGGATTGGTTAGACCGTACCTGGAAAGTGGCTGTCATTGGGATGTATGATGCCTCGAGGTACATGAATGGCATGGTGCTTTTTGTTGGGGTATGTATCAACACTTGGCGCTTCTCAAAAGAAAACGGGAACTACGAGATTTTCTTGACTGGTGCCACTTCGCAAAGAGAGCCATACGATTAAGTGACCAGAAGTGACTAGAGGCCTATTCATTTGGGGCCATGACTTGTGGTTTGAAGTCTCGAGCCGCTCGAGAAAGCTGGGTGTGCCCTGCTTCTTGTTGGACAGTTTGTTTTTGTGCTAAGAGGGCCAAGCTCGAAGCTAACCATTTTGAAAAGCAACATCACCCGCTCGGCCAGGAAGGGTATCATGTGCATCCCCATCCCCTAAAATGGTCGGGTTTTCTTTTGGTCTCCTTTTGATGGCAACCAAAAGGGGGTCCACCATGGTGCTTATCATTCCCGTATTGGTCATGTTCAAACCTTTTTCAGTTGGTTGCCGGGACCAATTGAGTTTCTTTTTGGTCGGCTGATGGATGTGTGGGGGTGAATGTAAACTTGCTTGATGAGCCGCCGTCTTATTTTGAAGGGCATTGTTCCTGTTGTCTCTTGAGTGATCTTGAATGGTCCTGAGTGGATGCTGTTATCCTCATGAAGCGTGTTCCAAGTGCGGGAGGCTCTGCGAAAGCTGCCTCGATGTGTTTTCGCAGATGCTGGAACTTTGGGATGTCCAGAAGCTGAACAAATCAGCAATAGGAGGGTTGGTCCTGCCACTTCCCGCTGGAATGGTGGAAGTGTGTGACGCGTTTCGTCAAGGATGTTTGCGAGTGCAAGGTAATTATTGATGGCCCCTTTGTTTTGCCCTTGCGGGGATGTGGTCAAGTAGAACTCGATTCGCGGCGCTCGCTTGCCAGCGCCAGGGCTACGTTTTGGAGGTTGCTGGCGGGAAAGGACCCGAGGGAATGCATATCCGCATCAATGTGCTTGAGATGCTCGGGCTTGGAGGCAAAACGAGCCGACTTCTGATGAAGGAGCCGTTTGTGAGTGCTCCCCAATGCAGGCTTAGGACTTTCTTTCGAATGATGCTCAATGGGGATCTGACCGGGGGGCTCCAACGGCCTCGGGAGCCGATTTTGCGAAAGTGGCTTGGACGTTCCTTTTAATCTCACAGGGTAAAACAATAAAATTTGGTTTTGGACACCCCGCAATGTTCACCAGGCCCAAATTCCGCTTCCCTCACCGCCATTGCAAGGGCCCCATTCAACGGCGTTTCCGTTTGCATATTTCGTTGCTCAGCACTTGGTCAACCCAAGGTGATCAGCTGTTTTTTCCGCCCAAAGGTGTATGTTTTGTGTGCAATCCCAAAGACGAGCACTGTATGCAATTTCAGAGGCTAATGTTAACCCCGGAAGAAATAACCCCCTGGTTGATTAATAGGGGGGTGCCCCCTTTCAGTGGGGATTCATCACGGGTTGATTAATCCTGGGTCAACATTCCCCTACTAAAACAGACTACAGAAGAATAGTTGGTACCCTTATTCTAACCTCTCCACTGAAGGACCTAGCCAAAGATGAGGATTGTGTGCCATTTCAGAGGCTACCCCGAGTTCGGCCTTTGCAAAGGTCAGATTTTCCTTCGAAGGAGCCCTGGCAGAGGCCATGAGGGCGCGAGGCCTGCAGGTGGTCATGGTGGAGCCTCGGCGCCTCGGTTTCGAAGCAGTGGGCTTGGAGTGTTGGAAAAGTTGGTGTGTGGGCAGGTGTGGCTTGGAGTGGAGGGGTTGGTGTGTGTGTGTGGGCAGGTGTGTGGGTGTTTCTGGGAAGGGAATGTGTGTGTTTTTTGGGGGGTTTGGGGGGGCAACTTTCCTTAAAGTTTGCAAGTCGGATGGCCTTGAAACTAAGGTTTGGTTTTCTGGCGGGGGGTTTCACAGCGGGCTTTGGATATCCCACGCAAAAAAAAACAAGCCAACTCTTTTGCGGCCACAAGGAGTGCGCCAGGTAGTAGTTTCAATCATGGCGAGTTGTGTTCTGGTCTGTGGCGCAGGATTCAGTGCACTGAGACCAGCGGGCACATGTGATCCACCAAAACCCCGATGCGTGTGTGTGTGTGTGTGTGTGTGTACGTAAGGGATGACCCCAAGTTCGCAAGTTCGCTGCCTTGGAATTCGCCTCTTGGAATTGGCGCTGCAAAGACCAGCCTCGCAAGTCCAACATGGGATCAAGGAAGGGCGTGGAATGTCAGGAGATGATGTGATCCACCTGCAAGACCCCGATTTGCCAGTTTCACAGGGCCAGGTTCTACTGCCAGGCCTGATGGTGATCGTAGTAAGACCGTTTGCAAGACATCTAAGCCCGGAAAACCGTCTTGAAGCACGTCTGGGTGGAAGCAAGCATAGTTTTTGAGCGCTGCTTCACTGAATTAGGCGGGGCGCCAGGTTTGGGCAATGCAAATCAGGATTTTGGAATGGAACTCGAATTGAGTGGAATGACTTGGAGAGCAAACCAGTTGAAGAGATCGGAGATGATTAATCAAGCACATCTCGGGCTCTGCCAACCCCCCACCCCCCCAACCCCCCGCCATGTTTCGTGCCTCTTTTCTTTTGTTTTACCCCAAGGCTCTACAGAAAGAATAAACGGCTCATCTTGTTTGAAAGCGTCCTGCAGCACCCAACCCTGGCTTCTTGCTTTGCTTGTTTCTGTTCTTTAAACATGAACATTTGAACCTTTTTGTTCCGCCGCTGTTTCTGGCTTCGCCTAATCTAATGCACAGGGCAGACTGACTTTTCTTCCTCTTCTTTTTCTTCTGCTTCTTGTGTTTGTCCTGCAATTTGGCCGTGATTTGAATAGGGACCCCCGGAAAAATTGGTTGGTGGGCATGAACCCCCTGCAAATGGTGTTTCAGACGCCCAGGAACATTTGGTTTTATTCAATGATTTCATTCTTCGGAGACGAGCCACTTTTGCTCTCCAATGTGAACTAGGTCCCCCAGTAGTGCCCTTTTACCTTTTTTGGGGGGAGGGTTCCCCCACTAAAATAAACAACAGAAGAAGAAAAAACAAGAAGGGGGACAAAAAAAGGGTACCAACTTATTCTACCCTCTCAAATCTCTCTAAATTGGAGGACTTAGTGAATCTACGGCTACCTTCCGTTGGTACCGCCGAATGGACCGAGGGCCGCCCCGGTGGCGGAGGTGGACACGGAGACAGAGGGCTCCGAGGGCTCAGAGGGCTCCGAGGGCTCCGAGCTCGAGGCTTGGGTCTGGCGACGGCTTTTGGTTTTCCGCACGGGGGTCCAATATCTTCAGAATCCGCACGCAGGAAAACCAAAGGAAAGGAAGGCAAAGGAAGCAGGAAAACCAAAGGCAAAGGAAGCAGGTCCAATTCTCTTCACTGACTCTTCACGCAGGAAAACCAATATCTATTGTGTTCACAATGAAACACGCAAAGGACCATGTGAACATAATAGAAGTTACAATCGCAATAATATTGGAGCAGAGGACAATATAACGAGCATCGGGCGAATTTCAGGGGGGGCAGTCTCCAAGATGACGGGTGGAAATCCTCGCGTAGGTCTTTTCAATCACCCCCTCAAGCATCACCCCACCCAGAGGAAACTCATTTGAGATCGGCCAAACACGTGATGTATTTGTGGCCCTATTCAGGACGCCCTTGACCATGTGGCATTGGTTCTGGCTGTGTTTGGGGTGTTTGTGGTGTCTTGGGGTCTGAGGTCTTTGGGGTTGTTGGGGTCCTGCTCTCCTTAACCTGAAATGCTGTGTTTGGCCGTTTGAAGCTTATTGTTGAACTCACCGAACTCCTGTATGTTGGACTCTTTGATTCCTCGCGAACGTTCGCAAAGTTGAAACACCTGCCTGCCATTGCCGGAATCATCCCCTTAACCCTTGAGGCGTTGTACATGTGCAGATAGTAACAAATCAACATGGATTCCTCTGAAGAGGAGATGCCTCTACAAGATGCGTGCTTTTGGGATCCAGGTTAATCTGGTAAGTAAGTTGCATCAAACTGCCCCATGTCTTGGGCCGTCTTTGTTGCCCCTGAATCGAAGCCGGAGGGTGGCAGGACCACGCACCCGTGCGCCGGATTTGTGCCGCCTTCGATGCCGGCAGCTTAGGGGGAAGGTGAAGGGGCTCAGGTCTCGAAGACAAACCCATGGTACGCGGTTTGGTCGAATGAAACGAGTCCCCTTCAGCAGGGCTCCTTAAAAGATACATTCTGCAACCGTTTGAAGCATGGCTTTTTCCACCAACAAAAAAAGGAAATTGCCATTTACAAGGCAATGTTCAGGTGTACAATGTAAGGATCCCTGTTCAGCATTCAACCACATGGTCAAGTGTTCGAGGGCGTAAGATATTGATGACTGCAATCAACTTGTTCCTCTTCTTAGCGTGTGTTGGAAACCACTCTTTATGTTTGTCGGTGGATTCTGTTGTGTTTCTCGGAAGAACAACGGTATCTCTAGGCTGTGCTCAACCAGGTACTCTTGATGCTGGTGCCCGACCCATATGCACTACATACAGGAAATTCAAGGAACTCCAAAATGGGTTGCTTTCTCTTGCACCGTTCTTGAAAGCTGCCCGACACGGGGAGCGAACCCAAAAACGACACCATATTCGGCAATGTCTGAAAATGTGAGGAAGGTGGCCTGATGAAAAGAAATTCAAGGGGCCGGTCATTTCTGTACCAGAGTTGGTGATGTTGTCCCTAGCTCGCTTTTTGTTTAGCAACTTTGACGTCTCTAAAGCTTCCCAAACAGGAGGCCCCAAGAGCCAGACACACCCACGAAAGGGAGACATACCAGGGAAGGGAATGACTGAGGAGTGTGGAAGGTATGTCTTGATCGGTGGGGAGGGATGTTCCTTCAATCAACCCTGTTCCACTAACACTAATTACTGCGAAACAGGGTATCCTCTTGAAACATCTGTTTGTGGGTGTATCTGTGTTTGTGTTTGTGCCTATGTGTGTCTGTGTCTCTGTGTCTCTTCGTGTCTACGTGTCTGCGTGTCTGCGTCTCTGTGTTTCTCCCTCCCTCTCTCTCTCTCTCTCTTGAGGATACCTTCACCAGGCCTTAAAGGGAAACAAATGGTTGTGGGTCAATACCAGTGGTACTATTTTGGGGTACGTGCACCACCCATTTTAGTCTATTTTAGTGGGGATTGAGATGTTCACTGGGGGTACAGGCTTTTGACCCGTGGCCAAATGGGAGCGCCATCTTTTGGGCCCCCTCGAATCGGACAACTCAGGCCACTTCCATGGCCCTGGTAGCGGAAGCATGGGCACTGGTGGCCATGCACCCGGATGAGGCGCTTTCGAGGTCTTGGAATGGGTGGCTTCTTGGGTGCCAGGGTAATACCCATATACATATATAGATAGATATATTAAGATGGATAACATCCGGCTAAAACGAAATCTGGTGTAAGCCAATAGGTTCATATTGTGTGTGTGCGCTTGTTTCTGGGTGCGGGCTGGGGGTGACCTTACTGTCTCCAAGCCAACCTTTTACAACTTTATGGGATTCTCGTTTGGTCACATTCTGTGTCACGGTCCCAAAAGGTTTGGGCAGGTGTCTCTTTAAACTGTTTAACATTTCGCAAAGTGAACGCCTCTCACTAGCTAGAAGTAAACGACTGTTTCCTTGGATTGTGTTGTCCTTCGACCTCAACCTTCAAGGGATCTTTGTTCGGCGTTTGTGGTATTGATCCTCACCATATGCTGACTTCCATCGCTTTGAAGTTGGGGTCTTGATCTTGCTGAAGGTAAACTGCAAGGAAAAGACATTGATCCATATCGATCCTAACCTGTTTGGGTTGTCCCAAAACAGGGGTGCCCCCGCACCTCGGGTTTCCCGTTATACTCGCTCAGACTAACAGCCGGAAGCTCCCGCAATTCGCGTCTGCTGGAGGGTAAACCACCTACCTAAGGGGACCCCCCAGTTGGATAAAATCCCCTCAACCGACCAATTCACATAATATTTTTTCATCATTTCATAACAGAACCTCAACTCAAGATTTGATACATAAATGTTGCAAATATTTTTCTAAATTTTCAAAAATATTATTTTACAAAATTATCATCTTTCCGAAGAAATATAAATCATAAATTTTACAATATTCTTATTGTAAAGTTCATGGTTAAAATTTAAATCATATTATTTCATAATTTGAATAATTGCAGAATTCCTCACGGAATATGCTGAAATGAAATAATTTTCCAGAAAGGGTAATTCACCTACAATTTGAAAAACTTTGTCCTTCACTTCCTCCATTTCCTTTTTGACCCCTGGTGCCACTGGAGGTTTTGAATTTTCAATTTCATTAGGTTTTTCTTCCTCAACTGTTGTTTTTACTTTATTCTCATTCTCAATATGCTTCTGTGTTTTCAAATGCTTGGATATTGCAGATTTCCTCGCTTTACACTGGCAAATATCACATTCTATTTCAATCTGATTACGCACTTTATTATATTCCTTTTTCTTTTCCTTCCTATCAATTTTACTTTGTTCTCGGCAGTAATCACAAATATGCACTCTAACATTAAATAGGTCAGGTGGATAAGTGTTTTCGCATCGCCTACATTTTTGCATTTTGTCAGTCATCTCCATGCTACTATTGATAGGTGGCATGTCTTTAAGACCAGACCATCTTAAAAATCCCAAATTCCCAAAATATATTTTTCCAAAATCCCAAAATATAAAATCCCATAATTTCCCAACATACATCTTACAATGTTTTTTATTGTAAGGTTTATGGGTTAAAATAATAGTCAGGCAATATTAATGGAGGAGGAAATGACCTGCCCTCCATTTTCGGGGCACCCTGCTTGCCTGCCCACCATTTGGGAAGCACCCTGCCCACCATTTGGGAAGCACCCTGCCCACCATTTGGGAAGCACCCTGCCCACCATTTGGGAAGCACCCTGCTTGCCTGCCCACCATTTGGGAAGCACCCTGCCCACCATTTGGGAAGCACCCTGCTTGCCTGCCCACCATTTGGGAAGCACCCTGCTTGCCTGCCCACCATTTGGGAAGCACCCTGCCCACCATTTGGGAAGCACCCTGCCCACCATTTGGGAAGCACCCTGCCCACCATTTGGGAAGCACCCTGCCCTGCCCACCATTTGGGAAGCACCCTGCCCACCATTTGGGAAGCACCCTGACCGACATTTTGGGAAGTTTCAACAACAATCCCAAACTCGTTTCCTTAATCCACCAAACTCGTCAAAATCTCTCAAATCAATTCAGCAGGTATTTTGTATAAATCTTCCTGTTTATGTATTACATAATTATCCCCAGAACCACTGCCTGAAAATAGTTCTAATAAATTCATATTATTAGAATTATTTAGATATTTATTATATTAATTCGTATTTTCCTTCTTCGTTCTTAAACAGTTTATAAAATTCAATAGTTTCTGTTTTTGGAGATTTAATTTTGTTCTTATTTAACATATCCATATATTGCTTTTGCTTATCTTGAAAACTGCCAGACGGCCTTCCTATTTGTTTCTTTTCAAAGATTTTATCAATCTTTTCCTTCTCTTCATTGCTATTTTTTGGTTCGTTTGCCTTTGCATCAAGTTTCTCGTCAATAGTTTTTATCATCTCGTACAACAGTTTAACATTTTTACTAACTGTCATCATCTTCTTTGATAGTTCAGCAATAGTATCATTCTCAACTTCAGACATTTCTATATATATTTATTTATATAATTATTTATTTAAATATATATTTATTTATAAGATTGATTTAATGTAAAATCTACTCTTTAAGTACTAAATTTTCATCATTTGTTTAATAGTTTCCTGTGTTTCGTTTTCATTATTATCGGATGGTGTTGCTTGCCTACCAAATTTAGAAGTTATATTATGAACATCAGTTTCTAAGTTGATACTGTCTTTAGTTTTATCAATATTCATTTTCTTATCATTTTTAGTTATTTTAAACCCTAATGGCACACAAGAACATTTACAATTTCCTTTCTTTTGAATTTCCAGTTCGTTTTTTAATTCTAACATCTTTTTACACATAGGACACTCAAACTCGGTTAGTGCTGTTTCTTTAACAATTTCTTCTTTTTCTTCATCTGTTGAAGAAACTGTAGTATCTGTTTTATTCTTTTTGTTTTTCTTTTTTCCCATTTATATTAATATTTACATTTTTATTTTTGATATATTGTATTCCTAATTTTATTAGTTCTAATGAATAAAAACAGCATTTTTTAATTTTATTGTCAGTTATTATCACTTGTTCTATATTCTCTACTTCATCTATTATATTAATATAATCTGTATAACTCCTTTTCATATTAAATAATAAGATTTTTTTTTTTTTCATTTCTGTCTTTCTTTTCCTTGTACAACTTGATGGAACTTGATAAGTTCTTTCAAGTTCTAGAACTCTAGGAAAATGGTTCTTTTTCCTAGAGTTGTACAGTTTTTTCATTGTATCGTCTTTATTCCATCTATATTCCACAAATTTATGATGATGTTTTGAATTTAGATGTTTAAATAAATATGTGTCATCATAAGTTTTACCACAACTGCAATGGATAATAGTCATATAAATAATAAGATGAAATAATTATTAAAAATAATTATTTGATCTTATTATTTTCATGCATAATAGAATATTGGTGGGGCACAGCACTTGGGTTTTCATTGCACACGCGAGCAAGACACAAAACTAATTATCTTCAATGCTTATTGATTGAAGCAATGGAAAACCTGTTCCATTTTTTCATTGATATTTGCCGTCATCATATCATGAAAAAACGATGTTCCATTTAATATTAATTATAAATAATTTTCTAAATATCTTTAATATTATTTTATTATGCCTGATGTAAAACCAATTGACGAAATCAAATATGACTTTAAGCAAAGCAAGCACGAGGTCGTCCCTAAATTGCCGATGAGAGCTATGATTGTGGGCCCGTCAGGCTCTGGAAAATCGACGCTACTTGTATCAATGATACTTGATATTTATAGAGGTGCATTTGAAAGAATTTTTATCTGGTCACCATCAGTAAATTTAGATAGTATTTGGTTGCCTGTTAAAAAATACATTAAGGAAGGTTTGAAAGTAGATAATGATAAAGAACCGTGTTGGTGGGATGAGTTCAATGTTGAAGATTTAGAAAGAGTTATAGAAACTCAAAATAAAATAATTGAATACCAGAAAAAACAAGGAACGAAGAAATTATTTAATATTTTGGTAATTTTGGATGATGTATCTGATAATCCAGCAATAACAAGAAATAACAAATTGTTAAATTATTTATTTTGTAGAGGTCGCCATAGTGGAATATCAACACTTGTCAGTCTTCAAAAATCATCAACTGTGCCACCAATTATTAGAGTAAATATAAGTCATTTGTTTTATTATAAAGTTAGAAACTTTAAAGAGATAGACATATTACAAGATGAATTATCAGCAATTGTTAGAAGTGATAATTTACTAGAAAGCAAGAAACTAATTTATAAAATATATGAGACTGCAACTGATGAACCGCATAGTTTTTTATATATTAACCTTTTAGAAAAGAACCCTGACCGTATCTTTATGAAAAACTTTTCACAATATTTGAAAATAACTAATCAATAACATTAAATATTTTTTTAATGTTATTAATTTAGAATAATGACCAGTTGCATAAATCTACTTTTGGAATAGCATAACGAAACTTTGTTTGTTTTTCTTTTTCTAACTTTTCTATTCTCGTTACACATTCTTGAATAGATTTAATGATTAAAGTATCTGCTCTTGTTTTTTCATCTACTCTTAAATTCTTAATGTCTTCCATACTGATATTTTCATCGTTTTTACTTTGACCAATACCCATTATATATTATTATTTAGATTATAATACAATAATAAATATTCAAAGGAATTAAAATGGGCCATAACAATCCCCAAGCAATAGGAGTTAATATTTTACCATATCTATCTATATTTCTGTCAAATCTTTCTTGTCTTCTTTCTTTTTTTAATTCTTTAATATATTCATCAAATTTAGAATGACTAAAATTACATTCTTTATTATTACATTTATCTAATGTAAATTCATCTTTATTTAACTTAGTAATTATGCAACCACAATAACATATTTTTTTCTCTCATACTACTATTTTGAAATAATGCGTTTATTTTAACTTTCCTGTCAATGTCCATATATCTATATATATTAATTAATTATTTATTTATTTATATATTTATATTTAATTATTTATTTAGATTTTTCTTTTTTCAATTCCTTAATGTCTTTTTCAAGTTTATCTACTTTATCATTTAATTCTAATACTGCTT